CATACTTTGGACATATTGTCAGGAGGGAACAGTCGCTGGAGAAGGATGGCATGCTGGGTAAGGTGGAGGGTCAGAGAAAAAGAGGAAGACCCCTAATGAGATGGATTGGCCAGGTGGCATCATTGATGGACTGAAGTGTGGCAGTGGTGGTGAGGTTGGCCCAGGATCGGACATTGTTTCGTTCTGCTGTGCATGGAGTCGCTATGAGTCAGTTCCGACTCGATGGCACCTGACAACAACAATGTCAACAACAATTATAAGCAGAGTCGTAGCGGCTCTTCAGAAACCCTAAACAGGATCCCTATGGGTCGAACCGACTCGACGGCACATAACAACAACCACCACAACAATTGCTAACCACAAGATCGGAGGTTCAAACCCACGCGTTGCTCCTTAGAAACTCTTTCCTTCTTTCCTAATTCTTCCTGTCTTCTGGGACAATACTACCCTTTTGATCTCTAATGGTTGTTCTAAAGAGTGTATGCCTCCCTGATGTTTACCTTATAGGTCTGTCTTGCATGTCTGAATGTTGAGCCTTGAGAATATTCAGATCTTTAAATGTTGACTTGATATTTTCCATGGCACGCTTGTTGTAGCTTTCCCTACATCCCAAGTCAGTCTGCTTATCTCCTCTTGGTTTCAAATGTATTTTCTTATCTTTATGCAGTTGTTGTCTCTTAGGTATTATTGCAGATGTGTTTAATTGAACTATGTAGGTATTTTCCTACATATTTTCCCTATGTATTTTTCGTTTGAATATAAAGTTATAAAACATATTTTTTAATGTTCCTCTCACACAGCTCAAAATTGTTCTGGATTTCGGACCTGCGGCCAGTGTCTGGAACAGCCAGGATGTGGCTGGTGCAGTGACCCTAGTAATACGGGAAGAGGGCACTGCACTGAAGGGTCTTCCCGGGGACCCATGAAGCTTGTGGGAATGCATGGCAGTGAGATGGTTCTTGACACCAGTCTTTGTCCCAAAGAGAAGTACTACGAGTGGTCCTTTATCCAGTGCCCAGGTAATAATACAGATATCCTGGAAGCAATTTTAGTGTCTGCTTGTATGAACCAAGAAGCATTTTTCTTTTGTTATAATAATAAATTAAAAAATTAAATAAAAAAGAATGAAAATGGGGCTCAAATATAAAAAATGATTTTTGCTTCCACTGTTTCCATCTGTGTTGTATAGGTGGTATTCTGTTTACAATCATTAAACAGACTAGCTAGGTACAAGGCATATAATGATTGAATACGGTTTCAGATGAGCTATTCAGAGGAAAAATCGTCTACTGCAGTAACTTTTTACTCCTCATCGTATTATAACATATTGGATTCGAAGAGCTCCAAGAGCATCCAGTGTACCTTGATGCCCATCCTAAGTGTGGACATGGTCTGTGTACCATCTGTGGTGGAGCTTTCTGCCTCCTATTGAAAGCAGGCATTGGCATCACTGTCTGTCACTGTTAAGGGTCATTCAGTTTTTCAGAAGCTGTAAAGGGATCTATTCTCATACGGAGTCAAAATGAACTTTCTTGAAAAATTAATTCATGCAATACGTGTTTCTGAGTAGCTACTACAAGCCAGAGGAGCTCTGGTAGCTTAGCGGTTGTGAATTCGGCTGTGAACCTCAGCGTCAGCAGTTTGAAACTACCAGCTGTTCCACGGGAGAAAGATGAGGCTTTCTGCTCCCGTAAAGATTTACAACTTCGGAAACCCTTTGCAGGGTCACTATGAGTCGGAACTGACTTCATGGCACATAACAACAGCAACAACTATGAGTCAGTGGAGTTCTGGTGTGGCACCGTAGGTTAATGTGCTGTATGGCAAGGCCAGTTTGAATTATAAGGTCAGTGGTTCAAGCTCTACAACTGCTCCTCGGAAACCCTATATAGGGTCACTGTGGATTGGAGCCGATTCAACTGCACTTAACAACAACTATGCGTCAGGGAGTGACTCAGGCATTAGAGACAAAACAGTTAAATGAAACTAGTCATTTTATTTCATTAAAATTAATAAAATTAGCTATAAGGAGCACTGGTAGCGTAGTGGTTACGAATCAGGCTGCTAACCTCAAGGTCGACAGTTCGAAACTACCAGCTGTTCTTCAGGAGAAAGATGAGGCTTTCTGCTCCTGTAAAGATTTCCGGCTTTGGAAACCCTATGCAGGGTCGCTATGAGTCAGAACCGACTCCATGGTACTTAACAACAGCAACGTAGATATATGTTGTTATCGTTAAGTGCTGTCGAGTCGAATCTGATTTATAGCAACCCTGTACAGGGCTTCTGAGGAGTAGCTGGTGGGTTTGAACTGCCAGTCATGTGGTTCACAGTCTAGTGCTGATCCCATAGCGCCACACCTGGAGTCCGACACAGATATGTATAGACAGACAGATAGATAAAATATGCTATAAAACCCACAGCACACTTCTATTCATTTGTTTTAAATGGTAAATTATATTTTAGGTATATCTCAAGAGAAAAAAGTGTCCTTGATCACCCAGCAGAGGTGGTCATTAGAGGGACAAACTGCTATGTTGTGTTCAAGAGTGATAGATTCTCCAGATGCAGGACTTTGAGTGCTAAAATGGAGTTCCTTGTTGTGGTTAAGTGCCATCAAGTCAGTTCCAACTCATAGTGACCCTGTTTAGGGTTTCCGAGGAGCAGCTGGTCAGTTCAAACAGACCTTTCCATCCAATGCTTATCCTACAATGCCACACCAGGACTCCCAAACGGGATGATGTTGTTGTTGTTAAGTGCCTTCCAGTCACTTCCGACTAATAGCGGCTCAGTGTAGGGTTTCTGAGGCACAGCTGGGAAGTTTGAACCAATGACCTTGCAGTTCAGACAACCTTGCAGTCCAGCCCTTTAGCCCACGGTGCCACACCAGGACTTGGATTGGTCATGCTGACAGTGACTTAATTTACCTTCCTACCTAAAACAAATGAGAAAATAGGACAAGATAAATGAACAGTTTTCACGATATTGGATACCAGTCAATGAAGGACAATTGTCCCTCAGAGACTGGAAACGCAAGAGGTGAGCCCTACCACGGTCCCAGATTAATGCCTGAAGTAAGTTTTCATGGCAAAGAACGGGTGGGGACCAGAGGTAGAGATTGGTGGTCACACTGAGTTGTGGAGATGGGCCTGGGAGTCTGGGTTATATCAAGGAGATTAGATTTCTCAGAGTACCAGAGATGTGAGAGCTATGGAGAGAGAACTACAAAAGGCTCCCCACCAAGAGTTCAGCTAAGAACTGATAATAGCGTGATTATAGGAAATAACCTGAATCTTCAGTATGAACTACTTGAACATATTCAAAGGAGCAATTGCCAAATAGCACATGTTGTTGTTAATGTGCCGTGGAGTTAGTTCCAACTCACAGCGACCCGGTTTAGTGTTTCCAAGGCTGTAAATCTTTATGGGAGCAAAAAGCTTCATCTTTCATCCTAAGAGTTAAACACTGACCTTGTGGTTAGCGCTTCAGTGCTTATCCTATAGATCCATGTTGTTGTTAAAGTGCCATCAAGTCAGTTCTGACTCATAGTGAGCTTGTATAGGGTTTCCAAGAGAGGTTGGTAGGCTTGAACTGCCAACATTATGGTTAGCAGTCTAGTGCTTACCTGACAGCGCCACCAGGGCTCACTCCTGACTCAAAATAGCATGTAGTAAGGCTGTGAACATTACCATGTCCTCACCTACACAGTGGAAAATTTCATTATTCATTGTTAAAATACCCCAAAGGGTTTTGTTTCATTTGTGTGATAAAATTAGCCCCAGACTAAGTCCTACACAGACTTAATCCTGTGAAACAAAACTTCAAAGCTGACCAGATGATCAACTATTTCCAATGAACTCAACCATGTCCTAGAACAAAACTGAGCGATACCTATGTTGTTTCTAAGTGCTGTCAAGTTGGTTCAGACTCTTAGCAATCCTGTGTAGCGTTTCTGAGGAGCATCTCGTGTGTTTGAACCAATGACCTTGTGGTGAGCAGTTCAGTGCTTATCTTATAGTGCCATGCCAGGGCTGAAAAATATTTATAGAAATACAAAAATACCCAGCTTCCAACAAGGTAACATGAAAAATTTATAATGTCTGGCATCTTATCAGAAATTAGCAGCTATGCCAAGAAGCGGGAAAATAACGCCCATAATTAAAAAGAAAACGAACCCATTGATATCAATTCAGACATGAGAATTAGTAGAGAAAAGATATTGAAATGGTTGTTATAACTCTATCTTATCTGTTTAAGAAACAAGGTGAAATATTGAATGTTGAATGGATCAGTATTCAAATATAAAAGAGACCCAAGTAGAACTTACAGATCTGAAAAAATGCCAAGTGTGAAATGAAAAATAAAACGACTGAACTTACTATCAGACTCGACAATGCAACAATAAAGATTGGGTTACTCAAAGACAAAGACGAGGAAGCCCATAAAATGAAGTATAAACAGGAGAATGACAGAAACACACTGAACAGAATGTGCTGTGTATTCTTGTAGCTGGATACTTTAAGAAAGAGAAGAGACAGAGTTTTCAGAAAACGTGAAAGGAATAATGGTCAAACATTTTCCAAATTTGGTGAAACCTAAAAACTAGGAGATCCAAGAATGTCAGTGAGTCCCAGCACAAGAAACATGAAAATAATTCCCAACAAGCCGCATGATAATCAAATTGCTTAAAATTAGTGATAAAATGATAACTTCAGCAGCTGGCAGGGAGAAAGAGGCATTGCATACAGAGGAAAAGATGCCTGATATCAAATTTCTCATCAATAAAAATGAAAACCAGAATATAGTGGGGCAGCATCTTTAAAATATCAAAAGAAAAAAGGTTAACTCTGAATTCTTTACTTAGTGATAATATCATTCAATAAAGGAGGCAAAAAAAGACTTTTTCAGACTTCAAAAAACTAAGACTTTATCACCAGTGGACTTGCATAAAGACATAATGAAGGAGGTCTTTTAAGCTGAAGGAAATTATTTTAGACATAAATCTTGAGCTGTACAAAGGAATGAAGAGTCATGAAAATAAAAATGTGGGTAGAGACGTTTTACTTATTATTGAAATATCTAAAAAGAAAACTATTAAAAGTAAATATGACAGTATTGTGGGGTTTAATGCATAGGGAGAAGTAAACGGTAGAACTCAATAGCTCAAAAGGGAGAGAAATGAAAGTACAGTGCTATAAGTTTCCCATACTGCACGTAAAGGGATAGCACTGTGGTTCTATATGATAAGCACTGAACTGCAAACCACAAGGTCCACGTTTCGAGTCTGCCAGTCGCTCAGAGCGAGACAGATGACGATTTCTGCTCCTATGAAGATTTAAATCCTTGGAATTCCTATACAGGGTCGCTATGAGTCGTAACTGACTCAGTGACACTTAACAACAACAACATGTGAAGTGGTACACTATCATTTGGAGTCCTCCTGTGTGCTGTAGGATAAGCATTGGACTTCTAACTAAAAGGTAGGCAGTTCAAACCCACCAGCCACTTTCTGGAAACACTACAAGGGGTCCTTTGAGTTGGAACAAACTCAGTGGTATTCAGCAACCACAACATACTATCATTTGAAGGTAGCCTTTTATACTTTATATCTATATATTCTAAACTCTAAAACAAAT